AAAACTGCAAAACATCAAAAGAAATTAAGAAGGCCTAAACAGGGGGCACCTGGGTGGCTCAGTCAGTTAAGCGTCTGACTTCAGCTCAGGTCATAATCTCAGGGTCCTGGGATCAAGCCTCACAGCAGGCTTTCCTGCTCAGTGGGGAGTCTGCTTCTCCTCCCTCTGCCCCTTCCCCTACTCATGCATGCTCACTCTCTCTCTCTCTAATAAATAAAATCTTTAAAAAAAAAAAAAAAGGCCTAAGTAAATCGGAAGACATCCCATGTTCGTGGATTAGAAGACTTAATATTGTGAAGATGGCAGGCCTACCCAAATTATTCCTCAGATTCAGTGATAACCCTAGCCAGCATTCTAACAGCCATTTCCACATAAATTGACAAGCTGATCTAAAAGTCATAGAAATCCAAGGGACCTGAAATAGTCAAAACAATCTTGAAATTCAAGAACAACAAAGTTGGAGGACGCAAAGTCCCAATTTCAAAACTTGCTTCAAAGCTACAGTAATCAAGACAGTATGATACTGGTAAAAGGGTAGAAATATAGATCAGTGAAAAGAATTGAGGAAGAGAAATAAACCTATATATCGATAATGAATTTGTTTTTGACATGGTGGCCAAGATAATTCAAGGGGAAAAAATAGTCTTTTTAGGGGCGCCTGGGTGGCTCAGATGGTTAAGCGTCTGCCTTCGGCTCAGGTCATGATCCCGGGGTCCTGGGATTGAGTCCCGCATTGGGCTCCCTGCTAGGCGGGGAGCCTGCTTCTCCCTCTGCCTCTGCCTCTCTCTCTCTCTCTCTCTGACTCTCATGAATAAATAAATAAAACATTAAAAAAAAATAGTCTTTTTAACAAATGGTGCTGGAACAATTGAATATCCACATGCAAGAAATGAGGTTGGATCCCTACCTCATGCTATATATATGAAAATTAACTCAAAATGGACCCCTAGCTAAATGTAACAGCTAAAACTATAATACTCTTAGAAGAAACATAGGGATAAAATTTCAAGACCTTGGATTTGGAAGTAGATTCTTAAAAATGATACCATCAGCACAAGCATAAAAAAAAAATAGGTAAGTTAGATTTTATCAAAATTAAAAACTTTTGTTCATCAAAGAACACTACCAAGAAAGTGAAAAGACACACTGAATGGAAGAAAATATTTGCAAATCACACATCTGGTATTTAATATTTAGATTATATAAAGAACTCGTACAAATGAACAAAAAGATAACTCATTTATTTTTTTTTAAAGATTTTATTTATTTATTTGACAGAGATAGCGAGAGCAGGAACACAAGCAGAGGGAGTGGGAGAGGGAGAAGCCGGCTTTCTGCTCAGCAGGAAGCCTGCTGTGGGACTCGATCCCAGGACCCTGGGGTCATGACCTGAGCCGAAGGCAGAGGCTTAACAACTGAGCCACCCAGGTGCCCCGATAACTCATTTTTTAAAGTGGGCAAAAGATTTGAATAGACATTACTCCAAAGAAGATAAAAAATGGCTGGGGTGCCTGGGTGGCTCAGTCGGTTAAGCATCTGCCTTTGGCTCAGGTCATGATCCCAGGGTCCTGGGATCGAGCCCTACATCAGGCTCTCTGCTCAGCAGGGAGTCTGCTTCTCCCTCTCCCTCTGCCCCTGCTCTCTTGTGCTTGCTCTTTCTCTCTCTAATAAATAAAAAAAATAAATAAAAAATGGCCAATGAACACATGAAAAGATGCTAAACATTATTAGTCATTAGGACTGTGCAAATCAAAATCACATGACATACCACTTCGCACCCAGAATGCCTTTAATATTTTTTTCAAAAAGGAAAATAAGTTAGGATAGTGTATAATAAACTATAAGCTAGAATCAAATACTGATACATGCTACAACATGAATGAACCTTGAAAACATTATGCCAAGTGAAAGAAGCCAGACACAAAGGTCACATATTGTACGATTCCTTTTCTATGAAAGGTCCAGAGTAGGCAGTCCATAGACACGAAGTAGACTGGCTTTTGTCAGGTCTAGGGAGAAGGAAGAAGTAGTGACTGCTAACTGAGTAAGCTTCTTAGTGGGGTAATGAAATGCCCTGGAATTAGATAATGGTATTGGCTGCACAACCTCATGAACATATTAAATGTTACTGAATCATGCACTTTAAATGGTGACTTTTATGCTATTTGAATTATATTTCAATTTAAAAAAGTCAAGCTCAACAGTTGCTTTAGCTGGTGAAGTAGTACTAGCCATACTATTCCAAAAATGAGAGGAAAAACACTCTTGGGGATCTGGATTTAAAAAAACAAACAGGGGTGCTTGAGTGGTTCAGTCAGTTAATCATCTGCCTTTGGCTCAGGTCATATCAGGGTCCTGGGATCAAACCCCGCATCAGGCTCCCTGCTCAGTAGGGAACCTGCTTCTCCCCCCGCCCTGGGCCCCTTCCCCCCACTCCTGTGCATGCTCTCTCTCTCTCAGTAAAGCCTTTTAGGAAAAAAAAAAAACTCAATCATTATAATAAGAACTAGAATTTGTATCCTACAACTGGAAAACTGTAACCCATGATATTGACCACTAGCTGATTTCAGATCTAGTCTCAACTCTTCTAAAACAAAGGCATAGAGAGTAAAAATGTTTCTAGGGTAACCACCTTAGAAGCAGAAAGAGCCATTTTTGAACTCTTCCTCTCCTGGCCTGAGTTTGAAGGAACAGGTTAGAAGGCAAGGAAAGGTAACATTCTGGAAACACAAATCTTTTTCTAGATACTATTTCTTCATTTTAGGCAGGGGAGCCTAAAATGTTGACCCCACCAGAGCAACTGACAGGGCCTGGGCTATACAGCTACTGTCCCAGGCATTAGTCTCCCCTTAACCCCCTGTGTGTTGTACAGATGTTTCCATTCTCTGTGTTATGAAATGGCAGGAAAGGAGCACTGCTCTTAGCATCATCTCTTTAAGTGTCTCCCCACCATCCTCGTCATCTCTGCTGAGCACTTAATTGTCATTGCCTCCCTTAAAACAGAACACCCTGGACTTGCTACACAGGTTGATTACACAAGTCCAGGGTGTACCTAGCTAGGAAACAGCGGGGTTATTGGTGATAATTGTAGAATGTTCCTATAGAGAGAAAATGCATAATTGTTATATTGTCATTTTCTAAGTACTTACAAATCAAATATTAAATAATTCGGACCAGAATTTTGCTAGAGATTAATGTCAAACTTTATTGAATTATAAATTCCAGAAACAAGTTTTTGCCTAGTTTTTAAAATCTTCCCTTAAGGGGCGCCTGGGTGGCTCAGTCGTTAAGCGTCTGCCTTCGGCTCAGATCATGATCCCAGGGTCCTGGGATCGAGCCCCACATCGGGCTCCCTGCTCAGCAGGGAGTCTGCTTCTCCCTCTCCCACTCCCCCTGCTTGTGCTCTCTCTCCCTGTCAAATAAATAAGTAAAAAATCTTTAAAAAAAAAAAATAAATAAAATAAAATCTTCCCTTAACTCTTCTGACACCTCTATACTTACAATTTCTGAAAAGTTATGAGTAGTGATGCCATGGTCATTTCTATAAGTTCTTTTAATACCTGAGATTTCTCTGCAGATGAGAATACATTTAGAGGGTCTTCCAGTACCCGCACATTATACTCTAACTTAACTGGGACCAAGAAAATGTGCGAAGCATTCTCTATAAGCTGTTTGGAACAAGAAAATAGACAGGAAACCTTGGGGTAGTTGAGATGATGTGAATAGATAACAAGGAAGATCTGTGTGAATATTTATCCCTTTGTTTCCATGCTGTCTAGACTATCACTCTTACCTTTTGAAATGGCTAGAGTATGTTTTGCTTTAGATGTAACTTTTGACTTCTGTTTTCTTTTAATGCATACTTTACCATCTGAATTGTGACCAGGTATCATTTGTAAATTTGTTTCTGTTGGTCTTTGTTAGCAGAAATATATTTTGCTAGGAACACATTCACTAGGAATAGGTACTAACTGGATGGCTCTTTCTTTTTTTCTTTTCTTTTTTTTTTTTAAAAAAAAAAGAGAAAGCACGCATGTGTTGGCAGGGAGGGGCAAAGGGGGAGAGGGAGAGCAAGAATCTTAAGCAGACTCCAAGCCCAGTGTGGAGCCCGAGGTGGGGATCAGTCTCACAACCCTAAGGTCATGACCTGAGCCTAAATAAAGAATCAGACACTTAACAGACTGAGCTACCCAGGCGCCCCATGGATGGCTCTACTTTTGACTTAGTAAATTTAAGAACAATTCTGCTTGCTGACCTAATATCCTGTACATGTAAGTAGAAGTAATACTTTATATCTTTAAAAGATTCAAGTGCTGGTTTTTGTTTTACTGTTGATAACTTTTAAGGTTTGGAGACGTAATTTTGTTTCACAAATTGGTTCATGTTTATCATGTCCACAAACCTCATTTTGACTCATTTTCAGTTTGAGCATTCATTCTGGATTGGTTCTTGTATTTTAGTGATGTTCATGCTTAAGAGTCAATTAGTACTGCTAATAAAATGAGAAAAATCAAGACACCTAGAACATTGTTTTTCCAGTAAAGTACTGCCACAGCCCATCAGACACCTGACTTTTAGTTGTAGGGGATCTTGTGGCCTCACTGGCCTCTATTGAACCCTGGGACTCCTTAGAGCCCCATGTGAAATCACCGCTCTTTCTAAAAATATCCCTAATATTAGAAGCAACATTATGTAATAAAATATTTTATATGCTTTTTGTGACCTTTATTTTTGATTAAACTCATAATGTGTTGTTAACCAAATTATCTAAAGGTATGCAGATTGTCGATTGCCCAGGATTTTCCTCATACATTCTTGAAGAATGTCATATAAGTATCCAAGAATTAGGAATATTTTTACTCACTAGTACTAAGGAGCTATAATTTGAAATGTTTTCAGAAAATATTTTGAAAATACTTAAAATTATAGTGGAAGTGACACCTGTGGTTTCATTAAAAGTAAGGTAGACTATATTAATTAGTAATCTTTATTTCCTTTAGGGTTTAATGAAGAAATTCATTCGATGTTCTACACGTGTAACTGTGGGAACTATTAAAAAATTTTTAAGTTTAAAACTAAAACTTCCAAGTTCTTATGAGGTAAGTTAATAATCTAACCTTGATCATGTTGATAATTCTGATCTGAAGTAAAATTCTGATGAAGTAAAAATTAACAGAAAGTACATTTAATTTTTGTGGAAACTTAGGTTATTTTTATATGTTAAAAATTTAGAGAATGTAATATTCTATTTATGTAATCTGTATTTTTTAATTTAACATCTGACTAAAACATGCTACTAATGCATTTAGTGGTTTACAGTTAGAAGAGATACTTATATAACTTAAATTTTCCCAAAATAAATGCTACATGTAGCTAACTAGATTTTTTTAATGCCAACATTAGGGTCTTTTTTTGTTTTGTTTTTTAAATGAGACCTTTGAGATCCATTTTTACCAATTCTTTATAGACTTCTTTTTCAAAATGTAAAACATTGTCTTTTTATGTAAAAAGATTTTGTAAATAATGTTCCTTTAATTGTGTCATATGAAAAAGTGATATTGTTTAGCAGTAGGTAAAACCAACATAATTGCATCTGCATGAATGCAATTTACCAGTTTCCTAACGGAGAGATAAATTGCCTCCATGTTGATCACAGCACAGCTTGTAATGTGTTCAATGTTTAGAAAATGTTTATGATCCTACGAGTATAGATATAATGTAATGAGGAGACATGGCTACCATTTCTCACCTGCCCAAATGGCAGTCTTAACAACGTGCATTAATTTCTCTTCCTCCCCTTTGGGTTCTGATAGTAGTAGCTTCTGAAGAAACGAAAGACTGAGACTAGTTTCCTATATAAACAAAGACATCAAAGGCAACATTAGTTCTTCATTATATACACTAATATTAACAGTTTATCATAGCAGAAATAAAATAGGATTTGAACATAGGCATTGACAGGTATTAAGTATGTATTTTGAGGAAGTCTCTGATCCTAAGTTTATTTAAAAACTCTCAGATAACTAATAATCCATGGATTAAAAATTCTTACTGTGGTTTGGTCCTACAAATATTAAAACATTTCCAGAGACATCAACTTTTACATTAGGGAAAAAACTGTGAAAGTTAATCAAAGCCCTATGTACTTGGTAAAAAGATGACAACTTAGATACAACAGTGAAAATAGAAAATGAAATTGTTTTTATGATTTGGTTTTATACTTATTCTCTTCTTACAAAATACCACATGCAGTTTTATTTCCTTACTTTTAAGTGTGACCCGTTGAGTTATTTTCTAGTTTCCAGGAAGTTGTTAGAGCTGACAGGATGATTCCTCTCATACAGTCTCACTCCTGGCACACAGTGTCGCTCTCCACAGATGAGGACAGCAGAGCGGGAGACTCTGTCCACTGACAGCTCCTCATCTCTCCCAGTGTAAAGGACTTTTCCTGTGATTTTTAGTAACATTTACTGGTTCCCCCCTTATTTTGCTGTCTAACACATAGGGTGATGTTTTAATGAAATACCTAACAGCTGAAGCTTTTGCAACAGCATTGCTAATTGGGGCAAGATAGTTTAGTTTTTAAATGACAACAGAAGCAGTGTACCTAACCAGGGATTGCATCCTGAATCTCTTTACTTCTTTGCTTATGAATTTATTTTACAAGCAAGATTTAAAAAAATAAAATTATCTACTTTGTCCTTTTAAAAATAAAATGTCTAAAAAACATTTTGAGGTCCATGCAAGTCAACATAAATCATCAAAATACCAATATAACTCAGCTAGAAATTTGTCTAATACAGTTGGAACAGTACTCATTTTAGACTTAAAGTTCAAAACTCTAGTCTCTAACCAGACAGAATTATTTAAAACCCATTTTTCTTCACCTTCTCACACTTTAAATTAAACTCTATCAGTTTGCCTTTAATAGCTAGAGAACTGAAATGCTTTATTTATAGGGACTTATGATAAACATTTAACTGTGCTTTGTTGAACTGGTAAATCATAGCCACAGTTCCTGGGGCCTTCTTAAGGATTTGGGGGGTTGTTTGGTTCCTGCAACTCTAGAGCAAAAGTGAGCTTTGGAAAGCACATCCCTTTTTTGAAGTTCGATGCAAGATGAGAAGAGAGTCCTGTAAGTATTATGCAAGTTACCGCCCAAGCAAAATAGGCCAGAGAGCCCTAGAAGATACAGGCCTGTGGCATGGTCCTAACTGTTCTGTTGACTTAGCTACAGGCAATTACCAGAAATTCTCAAATGCCTTGAAGTCCCCATAAATCTTGTATCCACATTCATTCCTTTACCCTCTTTGAATACAAACTAATGAGAGGAAAGCAAGTCCTCTCAATCTTGAGAAGGTGAAAGCATTCTGAGAGGTGAATTCATAAGCCAAAGGTGCTGTGAGGTCTCCACAGTTACTTCTCCTTTTGTAAGAGACAGTCACAGAAATATGTCTAAACTAAGGTTGCACAGAGACATGGACTGAGAAAGCTTACACTGCATTTCAAAATTATGTGTACAGACTTGAGTTGGGACAAGACCAGCACTGCTTCATGTTACTTATATCTGAATTGTTAATAATTACGAGATGGACCAGTGCTCTTAATAAAAATATTCAGTGTTCTTTTTAAATAATGGTTAATACTTCTATTTTGTTATGACTATTTGAATCTTTTTTGAAATTTAGGAAAAAAGTGTAAGATACTAATGAATTAAAAATTACTTATGTTAATGGATCTGTAACTATTCTTTTTAAAGTTGGATGTGCTGTGCAATGGTGAAATTATGGGGAAGGATCACACTATGGAATTCATCTACATGACAAGATGGCGACTAAGAGGCGAAAACGTAAATTGCTTTTATATTTACCTATGTGTATGTTTAGTTATATGCCATTTTGCTACTCATAATAAACAGTATACTACTTAGAAACAAATAAAAAAAACTTGGGAAAGAGAAGAAACTGATGCCTTTTACTGTTTATCCCAGCTACTCCATGATAATTGGTCCTAAGTACAAGACCAAGATCTTTGTTAAAATGTGGTTTTGTTATATTTAAGGTGAGTTAAAAACCCCATCTAAATATGTTCAGAACTCTACTTACCTCAATACAGAGAAGATGGCACTTACATTTTTTTAGAACCCCGATAAAATATGAGAACTTCTAACTATATGGAGTCAAGTGAGGAGACTAAGTTTTGCCCTGATTAGTATGTTGTTTAATGGTTGATATTTTTTGGATGTGGCAGAGGGGACAGATAGAGTAGAATCTAGGTAATCTTTTTTTCAGGTACCTCCTTTACATGAAAGTGTAAAATTGGACCAAAGGGTAAGTGAGTTTGCAGTGGTTTCTGATGTCAGAATTAGATTGTTGTGGCTTAGGCCCTAGGCAATATGAGAGAAATGATGTAAAAGGAGAAAACCTGAGAAAAATCCAAAACACCCAAAAGGAGAATTCTGTATTTTGAACTATACCTTTGCTTAGGGTTAATTAGAAGGTTCAAGCATATCCTATCTGTATTATGTATAGCATTGATAGTAGAGAAATCCGAGGGCTAGGGATTATAAGGCTTGATGTATATCAGTGAGGGAATGTAGTAGTAATGCTACCAGAAGTTCTCTTTATAATCTGATTACATGGATACACGTTAATTAAGATTGACTGGAAGGTTGTACTAGATGACTTTCAAGGTCTTATCAGACATTAAGATTCTCTGGTGTTTATGGTACAATATGTCATACTTCTAAACTCTGCATAATTTTAATCTAATAAGATAGGTTGTATTACATTTTCTTAGGAAAATATAAACTATTAAAAATACAAAATTAAGAAATGTAACCTCACTCAAAGACAAGTAATACAGAACCTGAATATAATGAGGGTTGCCATGTTACAGTGGTTCAAAAACATGGAATGTAAACATCTATGGAATTGTTATAAAACCTCAAAAAATCATTTTTGTGTGTTGTATTCAATGAGTAGGAAAATTGGCTGTTTTTCAGAAATGTCTTGATATATAATAAATGAAGCATCTAACTTCTAAAGTCAGAATTTTTTTTTCTGAGTCCCACTTGGGTAAAGCCTTCCTTGTGAGGCTGAATTCTCATGACCAGGAAGAAAAAATTATGTTCTAATACCAGTCACCAGCTTGACCTCTCTAAGCCTTATTTAAAAAAAAAAAAGAAAAGAAACAAAGGAAAACAAATCTAATTATCTTTGTATTTGGTAAATTACTACCTGCCTTCCTAGGACATTTTATAGTTTTTTAAAATGGTTCTACATACATCACCCTCATTGAATCCTTCCAACCAAAATGTTTCAGGTACCAGGTGCAGATTACAGAGCTAGTCAGTTTTCCCTTACCCAGCACAGTTGGGGCCTAGATATTGTGGTATTACATATAATATCATAATATAATTTTAGCTTTCTTTGGTAAGTCATTGGCCATTTTATTATGTGTTAATGATTTTCAAGTGCTATGAACAGGTTTGCCTTAAGGTTGAAGAGATGTAAAAAGTCATCCACCGCAAGACCTCGGCTAGCACTCGTCCTTCTCACAGTCCCTTGCCAGAGGTCGCCCACACTGCCAGTTTTAAGTCAAAGCATGAAAGAGCTAATTTGAAGACCTTGTTGTTAATTGACTATCAGTTAAATCAGTCTTTACTACAGTTATGTTTCTGGTTACACATATCTGATAGTTTAAATTCCTATGTTGTTTAAGGCATATTTTAATAAAAGTTGGTTGGGAAAATGGTTCAGTACCTTATGATTTTTCAGACTACCACGATCAGAATCCAGTTATGTCTTACCCCCTCCACTTCTGCCCCTCTCGGCCCTGCCGCTGTCACCATTCTCCAGAAGTTCTGTAAAAACCTCTTCCCTGGGCTCCATGCTTCCTCTCCTGCCTCCAGCCAGAGTTCCCCTACTGTCCTGGCCCAGCACAGCACCAGAGGGATCCTCCGAGAACAAGTTAGCACATGTCACTTCCCTGCTCTCAACTCTCGTATCGTTTAGATAAAAACCAAAGTCCTTCCAGGGACATATAGATACGGAGCCCCATGACTTTTCCCAGACACCTCTGTGATCTTACTCTTTACTGTCCTTTGGCTCACCACATTCTGGCCCCACTCGCTTCTGTTTCCTCTAACCTGCCGGGCTTTCTCCTGCCTCCCTAAGTATCCACCTGAATCATTTTCTTTCCTTTTTTTTTTTTTTTTAAGATTTTATTTATTTATTTGACAGAGAGAGAGAGAGCGAGAGCAGGAACACAAGCAGGGGGAATGGGGGAGGGAGAAGCAGGCTTCCTGCCGAGCAGGGAGCCCGATGCGGGGCTCCATCCCAGGACCCTGGGATCAATGACCTGAGCCGAAGGCAGATGCTTAATGACTGAGCCACGCAGGCGCCCCTGAATCATTTTCTTTACCCTCTTCACCCAAAGAATTTTGCTTCTACATCACCTTCTCAGTGAGGGCTCCGACCTTCCTTAATAATACAACCCCTGCTCCCAATATGGCACTCTCCCAGTCCATTTTATGTTTGACTGTTTTCTATAGTATTTTTTCATACCATCTGGCATACCATACCACTTATTTATGTTTATTGTTTGTCCCCCAACTCAAATGTAGTCTGAGGACAGGGATGATTATTTGTTCACTGCTGAGTCTCCAGTACCCAGAGCAGTGCCGCGTACAAATAATAAATATTTGTTCAAAGAGCAAATCAAATGAAAAGTTTCTTTTATAAGGTCATAGTTATGCAAAATATATCCTAAAGATCATCTCATTTATTTGAATCTCCATTTCCCATTTGTTTTCTGTTAAATTTTAAATTTTTGCTCATGTTCCAACTAATTATGAATTATTATAATAGTAACTGGTGAAGTCTGACAGTTGGAGTGAATGGACAAATTAGCAATAAAACAGTCATTTCTTGATCAAGCCCCTTCTAGTGTATTTGTTGCAGTCACATCCCTCCCCATCTGTACCCTCCGTTGCCAACAGGATGCCAGGATGTCCGACAAGCTCACATGACTCTGCCTACTGTCCTTGCTACCTAGCTGTACCTGGGGCTGGGGTCAGCTGACTTCCCAAACTCATGACCATCTTGTGGTTCTTTTACTTCTTTTTTACACTAAACATTTTGATCCACCTGGCATTTGTTTACTTACATACCCATACCTACAATGAGGCTAGGACTCTTATTCTAAGACTTTTTTGCCAAAAATGTAATTTGTTGAATAAGCCATACTTTATCTCAGTGTTTTGTCACCATTATGTGTGCATGTGTATCTATACAGGTGTGTACACACATGTGCACCCGTAGACACCTACAGACACAGAGATAGGGACACACATCTATGTACACACATGTTCCTGGACATTCTGTTTTGTTCTTCTGCATAGGTCTTATCCCTGCACCACATTACACAGTATATAAAGTTTTTATAAAAATTTGATCATATACCACTCCTAATTTAAAGCCCTTCAGTTGTCCATTTTCTTTGGGATAAGTCTGAATAAAGTTCGAACTAATTTATAAGGCAAATAGGCCTTCTAGGTTGCTATATATATATATATATATATATATATATATTCATATTTGTTACGGCTAAGCTCATTATTCTTTTAAAGTGGTGTTGGCTGATTTTAACCTACTTATTCAGATGAACTTGAGAATGGGATTGTGATTGGCATTGGAATATATTTTTAGGTTGATTTGGCTGAAATTGGCATCTTTGCAGTTTTTTTAGTCTACTCAGTGCCATGGGGGTGGGGGCGTTCTCCTCATATGTTCCAGGCTCTTCTAGGTCTCTGAGTCAACCCTGTGCTATCTTCCCTCTTCACACGGGATGCTGCCTCTGCCCCCGGGGTCTTCTGCCTCAGGCAAAGCCATGCTGTGTCCCCATCACCTCCTTACCTTGTCCAAGGTCTGGACCCCTATGAAGAATCTTGGAGAAGTCCATTGGGCCTCCGTTTCTCCAGAGCAGCGGCACATCTCCCTGAGCCACACAGCATCTCTGCCTCTTTCCTCTGCTCTCTGCTGGGTCAATTCCACTGAAGGCTCAGCCTGTTTCCTGTAGTCCTTGCACTTTCTGGATTTTATCTTTAGGAATCAAACATCTGGTTAAACTTAGCTAACTCTTAGAGATTTTTCATTTCATAATAATATTGCTGCCTGAAGATGTTGTACTCAAGATTGGTGTTCATCTTTTGCTTATTAATGGGAGAAAATGTTACCTTTTCTTAAAACCAGTGCTTCTTAAACTTTAATGTGAGTAGAAATCACCTGGGGATCTTGGTAAAAAACAGATTTGACTCAGTAGGTCTGGGGTGGGGCCCAAGATTCTGCATTTCTAACAAGTTCCCAGGGAATGCCAGTGCATCTAATCTTTGGACCATCTTTTGAGTAATAGGATTTTAGGAAACGTGATCCATAACCACTGGCTTACCCTGTGGCTTTGGCTTCCACATCTGTAAATTGAGGGTGTAGAATTACAGAATTAGATCTCAATCTGGAAGGGACTTAGTTATCTAAACCAATCATCTATAATACATGATCCTGTTTATAAGATCCATGCAGTCAGTGTTCATCGCATTTTTGAAACAAACATGAATGGAATCATATGTACTGTTCTGCAACTTTTTTTTTTCATTTGATATGTCATATGGAGAATCAACAAACTTGATATAATTCTTTGTAACCAGTTGATAGTATTCCATTTGTGTGGCTGCAGCATAATCTGATTAACACACTCCTTTTGGTGGAAATTTAGACTTTTTCAAGTTTTTTAACATTACAAGCAATGCTAGATTCCAGTACATATATCCTTTTGCACATGTGCAAGCATATTCATTGGCTAGATTTCACATGTGGATTTACAACAGAGTATGCATGTTTTAAATTTTGATAGATACAAATTACCCTCTTAATAGATTTTAGCAGTGTATAATTCTACCAGAGGTATATGAGAGTGCCCATTTTCTGATATCTTCACCAACACTGCATATTATCAATTTTGTATTTCTTCTGTGAAGTTTCTTTTCATATCCATTGCCTTGCTGCTGTTTTTCCATTGTGATGTTTGTCTTTTTCTTACTAACTTCTAGGAGCTCTTTATGTATTCTGGATTCTATAATCTTTGGTTATATATGTTGTAGCTATTTCCTCCCAGTTGTGTTCTGCTTCCTAGTTTGTTTGGTTTTGTTTTTTTTTTTAAGATTTTTTATTTGTTTGGGAGAGAGAGCGCACCCACGAGCGCTTCGTTGGGCACACGCATGAGTGGGGGGAGGGGCAGAGGAAGAAGCACACTCCCCGCTGAGCAGGGAGCCCCACTCAGGGCCTGATCCCAGGGCCCCAAGATCATGATCTGAGCTGAAGGCAGATGCTTAACCAACTGAGCCACCCAGGCACCCCTCTGCTTCCTAGTTTTGACTCCGTTTTTTTTTTTTAATTCTTAAAATTTGGGTGTAATAATACCTGTCTTTGAAATTTTTTAGTAAGAATGAAATATTACAAAGTACCTAGCAGAATGCCTGACATAGTAAATGTTAGTGAGTTTATGAATAGCTTATGTATGTTACATTTTGTTATTATTGTAATTCTCACCTAACTTCCTCTCATCCCTGGAGCTTACTGTTAATATTTTCCCATTTGGCCTCAGCTTTCATCATGAACTCATCATGTTCTTCCTGCTCACCTTTTCTCGGGTAGGTTGAATACTAACTCTCAGTACAGCCCCTCCTTCCCAGATGATCCTGGTTGGTTTTGTCTCTTCTTACAACCCCCTGCCAGGACATACCTGAAGTTACTGCACCACATTTGTCTTGCTTTATCTGCATTTTTATGAAGCAGTTTTAGGAAAAACAAACATCCTTCTTGAGTGATACCAAAAAGATTAATAGGAAAAGATAATAATCACTTAGTGAAATAGCCTCTTTCACCTTAACTCTTCACTCTTAAATGCTGTTTGGGACTTGGCATTGTTTAGGACTTCCAAAGTCTAATAGGCCAGAGCGTGGGGACTCTTCAGAGAGAAAAGGGAAGGTTACTAAGGATAGCAGTGCTGGGCATGTCTTACAGCATGTTGATGAGCCCTGCACAGAAAGTCAAGGACTCACTCCTGGAAAAAACTGCTAGTCTTTTGGGGAAATGGAATATAATTTCTGAAATTTTATTTAAAAGGCTAGCAATACATTTGTTTTAATCATTTCTTCCCTTAATATTCTTTCAAAGTATACCTTTTAAAAACCTGCTTGCTCTAGGATGTTAGATTTATCCTGGTTAATTTACACCTTTTATGTATTTTTTTCCCCATCTTGAGGAGGCATGCAATGTTGAATTCATATATACATAATTTTAAAGTATATATTTCATTGTTTATAATCATGTTACAATTAAAATAATGTTCATGTTTAATAAGTATTTAGCTCAACATTGAAAAATCAAGATTTGGGAATGATTTTTTTTCTTTAATATGAATGGTTAAACTGTTAAAACTTAGTGGGTTTACAACTGAATCTACTCAATAGTTTAAAATGTGTTCATTCATTGATTTACTCATGAAACATTTTTTTGAGAAGCTGCTTTGTGCCATTTCTGGGCCTTAGTTATTAAGACTGTACATATGAATAAGATAAAGACTCAAGGAGTTCATATTCTCATGCTATTAAAATAGATAATGGAGACTAAAAATCTAATCTGAGCAATATAAAGAACCTCATCTAAAACAGAAAACGGACCCCTTACATGTTGGGGCAAAGTGCATACCCCTTTCAGAGCCCTGAGGTCCTTAAACAGTGTTCCCTTCATGGGTAGTTGAAGGGCAAGCTAAGCAAGATTAATCACTGGCAGGGGTGGAAGAAAGAGGGTACCCCTCCTGGATTGAAGAGGTGAGAGTTTTCCCAGGAATTATTATCTGAAGAAGAGATGGAAAGGATAGCCACCATTTTGGTAAATATTTGCAGGATATTAACAAAACTGATATTTAGATACTAAAGTTGTCTCAGGCTACATTTTACCAGTCACTAAGTTATTAAAATCTTTAAAAAAAAGAAGAAGAAAAAAACAACCAACTACCATAGTTTGGAAAGTGTTTACTTAAAATTATGTTGACTCATGTTTGACGTTAAAATAGTTTAATCAGTTTTAAATATGTATCCAGTTGTGGATGCCTCTTATCTGATGAGTTCATCTCCTCCGCAGTTTCGGTGTCTGAACTGCTCAGCTTCGCAAGTCTGCTCTCAGGATGGCCCTTTGTATCAGGTAAGAGGCACTCACGACTGTACATATGCCCCTCCTGACGCCTGCCAAGATGGTGATTGCTTTCATCCCAAACCCGGGTTTCTAAGACCTGCAACTTTACAAAACCAGTATTTATCTGAGCTACAAAACTTCATTTTTCAATTTATGTCCCAGAGTTTCCCATTATTTTGGTTCTCTTGCATTTATCTATTTAATTTCACTGAATTAAAAATGAAATTATAAATGTTAAGGCCAGTATTTAGGAGTCAGAAATTTTTCATAATTACTGGTTTCAGCCCTTGAGAAATCTGCTCCATATTGGATCTCTGCTCCATGCTCAGCACTTCTTTGCGTAAGTTTTTGTGTGTTTTTTTTTTTTTTTAATCCTTCAGTCACCCACAAGTGAAAGATAAAATGCTAGATTAGGGGAAGCTCTGTTAGGGCAATAGCCCAATGGAACTGTGAGCTTGCTGACTAGGCCCCGCCCTGAGTGCTCTACTTGGGTTACCTCTTTTAATGCAGAAATGAATGTGGACTAATTTTAAAATGCACTGAGAAAAACTTCCCTCTGATCCATTTTCCAGTTACCTAATAAAAGTACATTTTAATTGGGATGATAAATTGTAGTGATGCTTCTGCCTTGAACTATAACTCATACATACGTGGTTTTTTGCTTTCACTCTTGGCACTGGTGTCTGTTTCCTTAGAAATAAAGATGTTCATAAACTCCAATCTAAAATATTAGAGAACAAGTAGAGTAAGATCAGATTTTTAAAAATCCTCACAAATTCCTTTTTCTTTCTTCAACACTTCATTATGGATTTTAGTCCTGTCACAGAGTTGAACTTATAATTAATAGTAAATTCAGCTAGAAATTTTCAGGGAAAAAGTTATCACTTTATTTCAAGAAAACATCATGTATGTAGCTTTATACTATTTAATTTTTAAATTTAAAAAATTTTAAAATTCCACAAAATGGACAGTTTTCCCGGAAACTACCAGTGGACCAAAATTTACCCATGAAGAAAGAAAATGTAAATCACCAAGTCATGAAAGAAAATAATAATTAGGAATTACTTCCTCAAAGGATACCTGAAGAGTTTTATGGTCATGCTCTCTCAAATTTTCAAGCAATACATTATTCCCATTCTAAATTGTTTTAAATTATTGAAAAAGGTGAAATTCTTCCAAATTCATTTTACAAAAGTAACATAATCATGATACCTAAAACTGAGAACCTCCAACTATAAAATGAGTATCAATCTCATTTTGAATACAAATACAAAGATGATAAATACACTAAAATCATATACTAAAAGAACAATAAGCCAAGACCAAATAGAATTTTTATCAGAAATGCAAGAATGGCTTAATATTGGGGGAGGGAAGTAATATATATTATATAGTAGAAACATCTTTTGTGCACACACACACAAAATCAAATCAAAACCATCAGTAGATACTGAAAAGCATTTGATAAAATTCATTATTAAGTCCCAATTCTTCCTGCAACTTATTTTGAAAATTTTCCAAAAAACAAACAAAAAAATGAAATAATATAAAGGAATATCCTTTACTTTTGCTTAGATTTTTACCAATTAACATTTTGCTACATTTTCTGCCCCCTTGTCCCTTCTTTTCCCTTCTCCTTATCTTACTAAACTCTTTATAATTCTGTTCTTTGTGAAACCATTTGAAAGTAAATTGCAAGTATCAAAACAGTTGACCACTAAATATTTCAGCATATATTTTCTAAGATCAAAGACTTCCTCATAAATAACCAAAATACCACTTCACACACAAGAAATTTAAATAGTATATGAGATACTATAGAGATGTCCTTTCCCCCCATAAATAAATTATGGAGTTTGGTGTAGTTCCAGGCACACTTTTACCAGATTCTTGTTTAACTTAACAGAATCAGTCATTCTAAAGTTCATCAGGAAGTATAAACCAGTGCTTCCGGTCAGTCACATTTTTCAGTGAGTAATCAGGGGGCATGTGCACTGCAACGTGCTAAAATGTATCTTAAAAAGCTGAAGTAATTAAAATAGGTACTGACTTAAACACAGACATATGAATAAAAAGAATAGATCAGGAACAGACTGTCTAGTGTGTATGAATCTATAAAGAGTATTTCAAGTTAGTGGAAGAAAAAATGATTCATTTAGCAAATACCGATTGAGCACTTAACTGTACACTGGGCACTCTTTTAGGCGCTGGGGACACAGAAGTAAAAATGAGCAAAGTTCTTTCTCATAGAGCTTATGCTCTTACAATGGTGACAGATGAAAAATAAATTTGTAGTGTTAGAAAAAAAATTAAATAGAATATTTAGATAAGAGAGCCAAGGGAAGGCTTCTTTGAGGTGGTGATTCTTGATCAAAAGGAAGTGGGAGAACTAGCCATGTGTGTATCTGGGGTAGTGTGCTTCAGAAGAAGGGAACACAGTGGAAAGATCCGGAGGAGTGGTTATGTCTGGTTGCTTGAGGGTTGCAAGAAGGCCAGTGAGGCAAGACTAGAGACAGTAGTTGGCGGTTGGCAGGGGTAATCAGTGAACTCAGAGTATAGATGTTGGGGGGTAGGGTGTGATCTAGTCCATTTGTTTCCAATAAATTTTACTGTGACTTTTGGTGGTAGGGATGGAAATTTAGTCCATACCCCATGTTACAGGAGATTCTCACGGCTTAAAGTGGTAAATATTAAAATTGATACCATCAGAGATGAAGAAAGATAGTTAAATAATCTCAGAGTGGGGATGGCCTTTCTTATTGTACATGTAAGAGGAAACAAAGACAAACCAAGTTGACTCTTAATATTGAAAAGTACATGGCAAAAATACCATAACTGAGGAAATATTTGCAATATATGACAGTAAGTTTTAATATCCTTAATACATGAAGAATTCATACAAATCTGTAAGACCGAGTTCACCTTTCCTTAGAAAAATGAACAAAAAAACGAACAAAAGACATGCGTAGGAAAGTCACAAAAGGAAACAGAACTAATTATACAAAAATGGTTAATTTCTTTAGAAGAAATAAAATACTATTTTATGCTTATTAAATTGCCATATTAGGAGGGAAGAAAGGATAGTACTCATTATTGATGAGGCCATTGAAGAATGAGCACTCCTATTTCTTTTGGAAATGTAAAGAGAGTAACTTTCTTGAAGCCCACTGTGACAGTATTTTTCAAAAAGCCTTTAAAAATGTGTATGCTGTTTGAACTAACAGGTCCACTTCTAGGAACCAGCCCTGATCACTGGGTCAAGATTAATTTATAATCACCCACACAAAAAAGGAATAAACTAAAACATACGACAAAAGATTTATTGATAACTTATAATTCTTTTCTATAAAAGCATTATATTCATCCTTTAAAAATATCACATAGGATATTAAGTAGTGTAGAAATAAGTCATGGAGGGGCGCCTGGGTGGCTCAGTCGTTAAGCATCTGCCTTCGGCTCAGGTCATGATCCCAGGGTCCTGGGGTCGAGCCCCGCATCGGGCTCCCTGCTCTGCGGGAAGCATGCTTCTCCCTCTCCCACTCCCCCTGCTTGTGTTCCCCCTCTTGCTGTATCTCTCTCTGTCAAAGAAATAAAATCTTAAAAAAAAAAAAAGTAGTCATGGAATTTTTTAATGGAAATTAAAATTTTACATGGACAAAATTATTTTCCAAACAATATGTGTAGCATGATTACAGTCTTGAAAAAACATACATACCTAGATGAAAAGACTAGAAGGATATACACCAAAATAATTATGGTAGTTATCTTTGAATGGTGGTATTTAAATGATTTTACTTTTTTTCTTGGTGCTTTTCTGTATTTTCCAAATACTTTTATGATAAAGATTTTTTAAGAAAAACAGTACATCAGTGAAGGTCACCATTTTCGAAAGTTACCACATTTGAAATATATACTGTGGAAATATCTGTATTTTAGGACATGATGAGACTGAGGACTAGCAACTCTACAAGTAGGTCCATTCAGGACAGTCACTGAACACTAGGAGGGTGATGTGCCATATTTCATGATGGTACGTGCAGCGCCATTTTACTACAGAAAGCGACCTGAAATACAAATAGAGTTCCCAGCATTTGAAAACAAATTTTCAGTAAGATTAAACTTCATGTGTCATCATAGAACAAACACAAATCGTTACGTGGAGAAAACAAAACCACCTGGTTTTCAGGCAAAACCAGAAGGGGATCCGGACCACTGACAACTAACCATTTTACTTCACGCTCTACCTTCATCCCAGTAGAAATCGGTGATGGACTTCTATGTATTATGAAGGGATTCTAGAACTAGTGATTTAATTATTTGCCGAAAGTATGCAGATTCAGCAGTTCAGAATGGAGAGCATAGCGAGGAAGACAGTTGTGACAGAGGGCAAGCTGCCACTTGGGCCAGGGAGAATGGGAAGTAGCGAAGTTAGGGTAGGATGTCTGGGCAGCAGTCTCCACATCTGGCTGAGCTTCAGAAAACCCAGGGGGTTTTTTCTATAAAATGTAGATTCCTGTGCCCCTCCCAGACACTCGCATTCAGAAGGAACAAAGTTTAAATAAAAACAAGTAAAATTTAAACCAAAATAGATTTAGACCATGGAAATCTTTTTTTTTTTTTTATAAAGACTTTATTTATTTGAGAGAGAAAGAGAGAACACGAGAGGGGGGAGGGTCAGAGGGAGAAGCAGACTCCCCGCTGAGCAGGGAGCCCGATGCGGGACTCGATCCCGAGACTCCAGGATCATGATCTGAGCCGAAGGCAGACACTTAACCGACTGAGCCACCCAGGTGCCCTAGACCATGGAAATCTCGAGAGACTGTGACTTTTACTCCAGCCCTCAGGACTGGTGGTGGCATCACCTTACATCCTCAGCTGGAAAGGGCAAGACCTAGAAATTTTCATTGCCATCCTCCAGTCCCATCCTGAGCTAAATGGGAAAAGACTCCAACAACAAGTCTTCTCATATATAACATAGCTATGATGAGTACAGAAATGGTCGTTTCATCTCTCTCACCTGTATGCAAAAGTACACCATTTTCTGTCCTGGAGTTGTCCGTTCACCAACAACGGAGATGAAGGGGAACCGTCAGTGACAGTCTCCACTTTCTCGGTTTCATAAAAGTTGCTCCTCGGAATTTCATTTAAAAGGGAATCTGCAGCTTTCAGAAAAGGAAAACCATTGGTTCTCCAGACCTTTCTGACTCTGTGGTGTTTAGGTTCTAACTGACCCGGTCAAATCTCGGGGGAAACAGATACGGAGGTGGCCGTGTGGCACATACCTCTCGTGCGCAGGGAGGACAGGCTACCTCTTCCAGAGTCCGAGCAGCCAGGGGCCACCCGAACCTTTCAGTTAGAGAAGAGTCCACTCTGAATAGGTAGTCATATCAACGAACTGTTGAGAGGAGGTAGCAACCTAAGTGTTCCGTGTAACAGCTACTTGTTTTTCAGGGTTTTTTAAGGACCATTGAAGTTTAAATGTTAAAAAGAAAAAGGTGTCAAACTTAACTTTTAAAAAAATGTGATTTGTGAAAACTACCCCAGTTTCATTGATTCATAGCAAGAGGTCGGTTACCTTGTGAGTCAGTGGGCGGTCACAGACGGAAGCTCTGGATGGAATCCAGCCCCACAAGGTTAACAATTGATGGAATGAATGCCTTGATCCAGAGCCCAAAGCCTTCAGTCCTGCCCTGGCCCTGCCCCTCCCTACGTGTTCCATTAGTAACGTTCACCTCCCCAGCTGGTGTGACAACAGTGAGCCTTTGAACTTGACCCTTGTTACATAGTACAGAAAACTTGACTGATTCTGAAAAAATGGCATTTAAAAATAATTTTAATAACTAGTCTTTACTTGTCATAATCACTAGTACCAGGAAATACTGTAAAGTATAACCCTGCATTTTAAAAATCTTTTATATATAATCTTTATTGTTTTCATATAAACACAGTCTTACTCATCATCCTGTTTTTATTTTATAGTCCTACCCCATGGTATTGCAGTATCGACCAAGAATTGATTTCGGTTAGACCAAGGGGCCTAGATCCCACCGAGATGAATCCTGCACTTTGTTTACTCATCAACAGATCGCACAGTGAACGGTGTGTGGACGAGAGGGACACAACCAGATTTTCAGCATGCAAATAAGGCCATTGTCTGTCTTTAAATTGTCAGTTGCATTTATGTTGTTTCTATTAAGAGTGAACCAAGTGCCATTCTGCTACTGAACCATCCGCATAAGGTATCTGTGCCGTCTCACGGTGTACAAGTCAGGGCTGAACTCAGCCTGCCGCATATCTTGCTTGCCTGTTCCGAGACTGTTCTGATGTTTGGTTACACTCGTACTATGACTCAGTCTGTGTGGTGTTGCAGTTTTCACATACTTAATATTAATTTTTGTTTAAATAGAGTACTGTACAAGAAATAATTATTGTATCTTGAAGTTATTTTGTATGGGCAAGTATTTAGAAGAGTGGTTTTTGGGCCACTGTCCTGTTCTCAGTAAGCTTTGTGTGTGCAAAGTAGTTCACTCTTGAGTGTGGAAGTCTTTGGGGAAGAATTCCAATTATTCTTATCATTAGAGCACATAATAGCTGTAGACATTCTAAGTCCTCTGGCCATGTAGTCTACCAGTTGCACAGGGAGGGCATCTTAGCCCTCCAGTTGGAACTGTGTGTGACTTCGTGGAGACCTGAAGTTCGATTCACAACCATTCAAGGTGTTGACAGCTGGTCACATTTACTCTAACAAAATTAGTGCATCAATAAGGTCAGTCTTCCATAATGCCTTATGACAAGCACGTGCTGCTTCACGAACTGTCCCTGTGTAGCCCGTTTTATGTATGCGTCATTATATTGTGGCTCCCATCTAATGAGTACAGTGTCTCTCTTTTTAAGTTGGCCTTAGGTGTGTGTCATTGTGGCATGCAGAGGGTTATGATGATTTTAAATATTAGGATTTTTAGAGAAGATAACCTTAGCTATTTTATGGATTTCAGAAGTCTCAAGGCAATTATCAATTAAAACTGTTTGTTACCTATCACATGTCCAAACCCTATGCGTAAAATAGAATAAATGCAGTGTAGTTGGTAAATATGTTAACCAAAATTAATGATTTGAGGATATTTCATTTTAGATCCTGTAGTAATCAGGGGGAAACGGGATTCTGGTTTTATACACAAATTCATTAAGGTCAGAGCTGTGATAATGTCCTTGATTTTGCAGTTTTGTTAAGTCTTCCATTCATTTTGAGATTAGTCTGCAAGTCAAAGAACATCTTGTTACCTTAAATTATATGAAGAACTTCATTTTAAACCTTTTAAAATTTACAATTGTTTTCAAAAAACTTCTTTGGAAATTAAGTTTTATTAATTGCTTCAAAATAAACAAGTTAACCTCTGAATCTTAGGAAAAATCTTGAAAGGTAGGAAAACTGTTTTAGAAATCTGACATGAGCACAATCTGTGTGTTACACACATAGTTTTTATACTGTATACATTGTAGATGTGCTACATTTTCCAGTAAAATGTATCACAGATTAATGCCTTCTGAATCTCAAAATGCTTCTTAGACATAACATTGTACAATTCTAAAAAACACATACAAAATACAGCTAAATCTTGATGCATTTCACAACATAAAAGGCTGAAACTTCATAATTATCTCTTCAGTGTGTCTTTGTTTCAAGTTAGAGAGTGTGTATTAAAGTCTTCTATTGTTTTTGTTTTGACTTTTGTGAAAAAGGTTATGGCAATGCTTTCTGAATTTCATTTTGTTAGATTGTGTTTGTGCCCGGAAGGACTCAGAGGCAGAATTTAAAAGGCAGATTTTTGTTAACTCTTTAAAAATGGTTAGAACAGACCATTACACTCAACCAAAAACAGAATTTACTCTCCACCTATAGAAACTGTTTGGCTGTGCTGTGAAATCCAATTCCTTGACATCCCTAAGAAATTTTAAAATTATGAATCTGTCACATCTTGGTCAGTGATTAAAATAGTGTTTTACGTATGGAAGTTAATTAACTCAAAATGAATTGAGAGTGATTTTAAAAAAAACACAAATGAGACCTGCATGTTATTTGGGTCCCCAGCCAAAACTTACAGCTTTAAATGAGTTTTGTATACCTGATCTCTTTAAATTTGGCCTGTTGCTGCCTCATCTCATGTAATTTCACTCTTTTCCAAGGAAATATATAGGAAGCAATTATGGGATTGAGAACAGTTTTATATAAAATTGCTTTATTCAGTGTTAACATGTTAACATTTTTCCTGAAATGCAATGGAATATGTGCCAAAACATGTGAAAGAAAACCTAACATAAAGAAGGACATCAGTTACCAGTTAGGGAAAGGTACACATTTTATGATGGTCCTGAGTAATACAGTGTTACTATTAAGAACCACAGACTTCTCTGACTGCCTCTTTTGGTATATTCAACTATGATTTTCTAAGTATGGGACTACTTTCATGTCTAGCAGTACACTAATTATCCCCTAAGTCAGATTGTGGAATTTGCAAGAAACCAGATACAGAAAAAATATACAGGCAACTTTGTGGTTTTATAAGCTTAGGGTGTAATAAAACTATATAAATAACCTGTAGAAATCATCATCTGAATCTGCAAAATTGGGGAATTAAACTAAATTTTAATCTCTTGTTTCTTAAGCAAAGAACCAAAAGAACTTTACTTCCATAAAAGATTTTGTCATCTGTTTTCTCTGCCTTAGATATCAGAGATGTAAGAGGGTCAAGGAACCTGGGATATAAGGAAGGACTGTGGCCCATAGATACTTTAGCTGGAGTGATCACATACGTTAATAGAAAAATCAGAATATAGCCTTTTCTCTAGATTAGCAAAACACTTTAAAGAAGCATTAAAAAATAAACTAAAAGGCTCATTGATGAGGGAATATAAGGTCATTCCCTGCACCTGGGGTGCAGGTACCTTGCGTACTGTCTTTTAATTACTTTTCTAAAGGTGTATTATTTCTTATTCATTGGAAATATGTCCCATACGAATATGCCACATTTTATAAATGTAATGAGTTTGCTCCACTACATTATACACTCAAATTTAATCTAAATTTAAATGACTCTATAAGGTGGAAAAAAAGTGTGTTATATAATATTGTGAACTGTTTAGCTTTATTGAAATATTTAAGAGAAAGTGCCTCATTGCTAAAGTGCATTTCTGTTTAGATTTATTGCATAAATTCTGGGTTATCTGTACCTGTCTCTTATGAATGGTTTTGTATCTAACTAGGCACTCATAAGTTAGAGTAATCTCTTTTTGAAAGATTTTCATAAGAAATAGAGATCACCAAAGACATTCTACTGTTCATTAATAACCATGGTAAGAGAGACAGTTTTAACACTTTGGAGGTTGGAATCTTTTAGGTTGCAGTTTAATTTTATATAGTTAATAACGCAATAACCTTGAGTAACTGCTAAAATATCACCAAAGAAAGGCTTTAAACTGAATTTTTGTGATGAGATCAATCAAATGTAGGTTTTTCTTGCAATAATCAGAGCACACTTCCTTTCAAATATGTCCCTTGTTTTTCCAGAACCACTTGATAGGTCTTAGGAAATCCTCAAAGGTGAGAAAGAGATCAGCACAACTGGCTTCCCCCTGGATGCAAGGGGGAGAAATGCATCCTTTGAAAAGAAAACTAAAATGAAGATTTTAAATTCTAATTTGAGAAGCTCTTTAATCCACTTCATGGAGGCCATATAAACTAAAATTATGCTTATTTAGTTCCTGGGTTCTTAATAACATAAGAAATCTTACTAAAGGCAGACTTTGGTATAAGTGCTGACCGTGCTTACGTGTATAGAAAAATAATACATTCTATTGGACTTACATAAGTAAATGCTTTTTCTTGTTTTCAAAAGCAAATTTTTCATAAAGGCCTATTTTTTTTAAGTAACTCTTTGTCCTGTTTCTCAGTGATTACTTTATTGTAATTAGAATTTAGCCACACAGCCAAACTTGGCAAAAAGGGTCCCAGATCAAGAGCATATGCATCAAGTGAATGATTGCCGCCCCCCCCCCCCCCCCGCTCATTCTCCTTGGGAGCTGACGCTGGGGCCACCTTGAAGGTAAAGCTCACATGGTGCAGTCTCTCTGATAGGCCACTGGACAAAACCTCCTTGGAGACACTCTGTTACATACTCTGGTTTATCATAAGGAATCTTCCAGCAGGCTAAGCTTTAGACCAGTAAGACGTTGGTTGTAGGAATTGCAAAAATGAATGGGTTTGCCATAACATAATGTTTTGGATCAGAAACAAAAATGCTCTTAATACTTTAAGAGATATATCCCTGCACTAAGGAACATAACATGTCTGCCAGATCTGGTCTCTGAAAGATATTAAATATACTAGAGACTCAGAAACCCCTTTAAAAGCACAAAATAACCAACCAATTCTGGATTTACTTGATATACCTAGTTCTACATGTAGTATTTTGATGGAAAGACATCAGATTGAAAGTTCATTAAAACGTACTTAAATATACATTACAAGGTTTTCATGGTTTTCTTTTTCTTAAAGCAAAGGCATTTTCCCAATAATTTAAAAGGATTCTCTTCCTCGTGTAAGGCAGTCTTCACAAATAGTGTGTTTACTCACTATCCTTACTGTATTTGCAAATAGAATTAAAATGCTTGAGCACTTCCCTTTCAGAAAGTTATGAAATTAAACTTTATTTTAAATGCTCATTCCAATATGTATACTCATTATGCCCCTTTTTCTAAGATTCAATACTGAGACATTGTTCAGAAATGCCTTCTACTTTTAGTTCTCTTTAGAGAACCAAGTGAAACAGGTGTTCAAATACCAGGTCTAGTTTTCTTCCATCCTTCAGAGCTTCGTGGAGTAAGAAACTTAGTCTAGAACAAATGAAGATTAAATACTTCCGGGCAACATAGAGAGAGTGAGCAGATCATCTATCCCTAGACTTCCCCTCAGTCCACTGGAGCAGAAATTCCACACATTAGAAATGTCATGGGATCAGCCTAACATTTGGGGGGGTCAGTTTTCTTTTGCTGTATTTTTTAGAATGGGGATGGGGGCCTAAGTGTCCTTACGAAGCTGTGGCCCACGACAAGAGCTTGTGGGAGGGCGCCCGCCTTGCACGGCGTTCCCGCATCTGGCACTGGTTTTCAACAGAGTAGCCCCCATGTGACAGAACCATCCGAGAATATGTTGTACAGTTATGTTGCTACCTTTCCTTTGAAATATAAAATATCTGAAGCTTTTTTTGTCAAAAGTGGTAACATCTTAATACAAATAAAAACCTTTTTGTGGTTGTAAGATTTAGCTTATGAATCATTCAAATTGAAGTGAAAGATTACAGGTCATTGTTAATGACTTAGTCTATTAAGAATATATGTATTTTTGTAAAGGAAAAGCACTTGTAGATATTTAATCAGTACAAGATATATGTCTGTTTTGCAGAAATAAAATGCTGCTTAGAGATTCTCTTTAAATATTTTTTATTTTTGTGCTCAAATGTATTTTCTGTTGATCTATGGAATGTTCTGTACAAAAGCTGTACGGTTGTACTGTTGGGCTAGATTCTTGTTTTTTAAAATCTGGACTTAGCCAAGTATATTTGACCATGTTAAAAATAGTATCTTTGTTATTAAATTTTTGATTGCATAATTTATTGTTGTCTGTCATCCTTAATAGTAGTTGTAGATTGCAGCCCCTATTATTTTCTACTGTAGCAAATTTTATTAAAATCTGATGAATATTTAAGATCATAGATACGCTCTCAAGATTCTTGAGCTGTTTAGTTTTTTTTGTTTGTTTTTTGTTTTTAAAGATTTTATTTATTTATTTGACAGAGAGAGACACAGCGAGAGAGGGAACACAAGCAGGGGGAGTGGGAGAGGGAGAAGCAGGCTTCCCGCGGAGCAGGGAGCCCGATGCGGGGCTCGATCCCAGGACCCTGGGATCGTGACCTGAGCCGAAGGCAGACGTTTGACGACTGAGCCACCCAGGCGCCCCTTGAGCAATTTAGTTTTAAGACGGTAGGCTGCCCCTCAAGAAGTACTTGAGGTCTGCACACACACACACACACACCCTCTCTCTCTTTAGAACGGTTTCTTATTTTGTTAGCTTAATCAAATCTAAATAACCCTTTGAAAGTAACTCAGTATCAAAGAAGGGCCCAAGTGAATTGAGAGACAGACTGCTTTCTTCAGCCTGTTAGATAATAGTTTTGGTTTATTAATACCCCTGTGTGTTCTTGCCCTAGGAATTCTAGTTAGGCCAAAGTCAGGCATCCCAGGCCAGGAAGGTTCAGTGATTCACCTCTCTTTCCCATTGTTACTTTGGTGCCAAGCTTTGTCCGATGGTAGTGGCCAGAAACCCCAGACCTTTGAGTGAGATGTGGAAAGTAGCATCCTCTGAGCACGGTTGGACTCCTTCCTCCTTTTAGCTTCACCCCCTTCAAGGCTGTTGCAGAATGAGAACAAACAGGGAGGACTGTGCCAGGCAAGTGCTCGGAAAGGCCGACTACGCTACTTCGGGCCCGTGTCGTTGGTCTGGACTCGCTCCCACAGCCTCCCCTACCTGAGCTGCAGGCCTCAAGGAAGGCTGGATGCCCTGAGAAGAGAAACCAGGTTTGTGACCTGCCGATCAGTTTCTGCCCAACCTCCACTCGAGAAAAGAGGTCACAGTTTCTCAGTTCTTGCCAGTGTTTGGTCAACACAGGCTCCACGCTGATCTTTTCACTAGTTTAGGCGGCGGGGGAGGGGGGTCTTGTGCACCCACAAGGCCTGAGAAGCTCAGGCCCAGCCTCTGCCTTCTGTGTGGTCAGGGGATTTGCAGGCAGTATTTTGCTGGAAGCCACATAGAACCCCGCTGGACACCTAAACCCCTGCCATGGAATTTGGGGTGCCAGTCAGTCTCCACACGGTCAAGTGGAGAATCATGTCCAGAAAAGAGAGAAAAGCCGCAAACTATCACCACCAGCTCCTAGAGACCAAAGCCCTGCTCCTCCCACCAAGCCCAGTCCAGATCCCAGCAACTCAAGCAGACGCGTCCAGACTCTCCCTCTTCTCCTCATTCCTCATCGCAAGCGCAGGAATTGATGTTTGTCCTCCCCTTAGATCCTGAGCGCAGGGAGGGCTGCTGACAGTCATCCTTGGATGTCCTCACCCTCACACATCTCCATCTTAACCGGCCCCCATCAGACCACAGGGAACAAACCCAGATTTCAGGAAGCAGAGGCGATGCTGACAAGGGTGTCCAGGTGTCACTCCCCTGCGTATAAGGACATCGGTCTTACTGGATTAGGGCCCCACCCTCATGACCTCATTTGACTCACCTCTTGAAGGCCCTCTGCTCTAAGGTACCGGGGGGCTAGGATTTCAACATGACGACTTTGGGAAGACACTGTTCAGTTCATGACAGAGAGCCATGTGGTGCCCCGTGGACTGGGGTTCAAAGTCAAGGTGGTTCTGTTGTGTCACTTCTGGCAGTTTACTCAACCCGGCTGAGTCTCGGTTTCCTTATGGTAAAGCGGGGGAAGCAGAGCAGCAACACCTCGCCTCGCAGGCCTGTGGCGAAATGAGATGCCCCAGGCTGCGCTCAGGGCGATGCCAGGGGCAACAGTGAGGGGCGCCACGGCTGTCTCTTCTCCGTCTGCTCGTCTGCACACCAACCCAGCGTTGCACCAGTTCTCCCTGACAAGCTGGGAGCTAAAGTGCTGTCAAGGAACTCCATCCTTGCTTACCAAGCGCTATTCCCATGCCAGTGGCTCACAGAACTCATTCCCACTGAACACGCTAATGGAGAAAGGGCCCAGCACAGGGCCCAGCACGTGCCAGGCACTTTACAGATGTCTTGCCTCTCTCTCACCCCCATTGAATCAGCAGAATAAACCTATTTTAGCCCAGTTTTAATGATGTGAAAGTGAGTCTAAATAACTCACAATCACCAGAATGTATTTGGGTCTCCAGCACAGGCCTTGCTTTGTCTGAGGGCTGTCCCGCTCTCAGAAGCACCAGCTCTTTGGGTCTGAGAGCTGAGGTGTCTAGAGAAGATGGTGCTCAGGCCCTCCGGGCCCCGCCAGGCACCCCCAGGACGGCTCCCTTGGCGGGTCAACACTTGCTAACCAGTGTGTGCCTGAGAGGACACAGCACGCGTGTTACTCCTGTGGTCCACACACTTCTTGTGAGCACCCACTGTATTTTGAGCCGGCCCTGTGCTGGGCTCGGGGATGTAGGTGGTGAGCCAAACAGATGGCCACCCCTAACGCTAATGAAGCTTCCAGGACATGGAAAACATAGGCGTTGAACAAACACAATAAATACATAATAAAAAGAGTGGTAAGTAATCGTCTAAGAATGGGAGGTCCAGACCTTTCCGAGAAAATGATGCTTAAGCCAAGACCTGAAAGATAAGCCAGAGCGAGCCAGGCGAAGGGCAGGGGAAAGCATATTCCTGAGGGCAAGAACCAGCATGGAGAGCTCCAGGCAGCCCAGCCGCCGGCAGGAAGCTGGTGTGGCCAGCGAGGAGTGACAAGGCAGAGAGCAAGGGGAGAGGCTTCTGGAGAAGGCGGCAGAGGTCAGGTCCCCTAGATACTTCTAGATCCTATTTAGAAGCTTGTATTTTACTGTGAGCACAATAGGAGGATTTTAAACAGGGGACTGACATCTTTTTTATATTTTAAAATTGTCACTCTGGGAGCTTTGCAGAGACTAGATCGTTAAGGGTGTAGGGCCTAGAACAGAAGCGGAAACAGGTAAGAAAAGCCTAGAGCAGGTAAGAAAAACCGAAGGGGCCCAGGCCAGGGTCAGCGCTCCTCGAGGCGAACCTAAGTGGCCGTGGAGAAAAGGTTTCCCTACACACATCAGCCCCAGTGGGCCCAAATTCAATGTAACCCGAGTTCTCAGGTCATGGGTGAAGCCGTAGATGGGGGTGGGGAAGTCAGAGCAAGGGGCGGGTAAGAAGCTGTGGACCAGAAAGCATCAGCTGCCCCTCCCTCCCTTCGGACACCCCGCAGGGGGCAGGTGCCCGGAGCAGGGGCAGGGAGGGGAGTCCTGTTTGGAGCGAGTGGGAGAAAGGACCCGGAAAAGCCTCCGCCGCCAGCCCGGTCCAGGGCCCAGCCAAGCACCCAGCCTCGCCCGGTGAGGTCCCGTCTCAGCCTGGACGCCTTCTCCAGGAGCCCCCCGCCTCCTCCCCTGGGCTGGTCCTGCGCACCCCTCCCCCAGGCCTTACACAGCCCTGTCCTGTCACAGGTGTCGGGGGACACAGCCCGAGCCCAGCTTGGGCTCCACTGATTACCTCAGAGGTCCAGGAGACACTGAGGCAAACGTGACATTCCACGAGCAGAACTCACAGCACTAAAACACCCACTCTGTGTTGCGCTCAGTCCCGAGTCCCCAGTCTCCTCCACTGGATGAAAACATCAGCAGGGACTTGCAGTCGCAGTTCAGAAATCAGAATGACCGCAAGTACATTCATCAACACTTCACTATTCGTTGCAAGATTACACTTCTTCCCTGCTCCTCACCGGGGCCTGGTTAAGGGTCACCTTCCTTCCCTGAGAGCAGAGGGCACACCTGAAGAGAAAGCCAAGTCCTGTCTGGCCCACCAGAGTCCAAGATGGTGGACTCAGGCGCTCTGAGAGCAGAGTGACCCACCCAGGGACCGGGATGGAAGAAGCAAGGCCTGCGTGAGCTTGTGCGGGACGCAGAGGGCTCCCTGACTGTTGACGTGGTGCCGGCCGCTCTGGGCGGTTGGGTGGAAAGCCGGGGAGTTCTGGGAAGTTTCCCCGTTGGCGCTAACCAAGAAGTGAGATGGAAACAGCCCAAGGACAGTATCTCCTTCTGACCCTTACAAATGCGCCCACTGAAGAGGGTCTCAGAGCCGCCACTGGGGCTTTCCAGCAGAGGCAGCCGAAAGCTCTGGGGTTGAGTGGGGTGGTGACAAGGAAGTGAGCAGTGATCCGGGAGGAGACCCAAGACAACTTCATTCCCAGTTCAGCGCTCACTAGCTGTGTGACCTCGGGCACACTTCCCCACTCTCATCCCTGCCCTGCCTACTTTACCCTGTACCTCCCTTCCTGTAACTAATCGCAGCCCCAGTGACCTGTGTGGCATCTGTCTTCCCAGCCAGGCTGCAAGCGCCCTGAGCCGTCAAGCCGGTCTGCACAGCACAGCCCTGGGGCCCAGCCCCTAGCACAGATGAGCAGTAGAAGTGACTCTCCTATACTGTGAACGTATAGATAGTGAGGGCGGGGGTCAATATTTCTTTTCTTTCTTTTTTTTTTTTTTTTAAGAAACGTGGGGCTCGAACTCAACCTCAAGATCAAGATTGCATGCTTTCCCGACTGAGCCAGCCAGGCGCCCCGACAGATGCTGTTCTTAATGGAAAAAGAGTTGTCTACCATCAGCACCCCTAGACTGGGGCAAGAGGGGGCCTGCCCTGCACCTGCCTTCTAGCAGGCCCTGCATATCACAAGCTCCACAACATGGTTTGTTTGGGGGTTTTCCCTCCCCTTTTCGATCTTTTAGGAAACTGTTGAAAGTTCAATTACCAACTGAGTGAACAGGAATTGGGAAGAGATGAACATGCCATCTAATTGGGCCCATTGGGCCACAGGATGGTGCTGGCAAGGGCAAGAGAAGGGTTGTGGTCTCTGTCCTGAGAA